AGCGCTAGGTAGCATTCTGGGAAACTGTAAAATACCTCATACATACAGTATCATACGATAAACTAGTTAATAAAACCATGATATCCGCTGCAGCTGGAATTATTCAGGAGGTGTAGTTATCCATCTCGAACACTAAAGGTCAGAATCGGACTATTCCAACTGAGCGATACGTAATCCGGCCACACACTCACACTGTTCATGAAGGCAATAACGTAAGGTAGAGCAAAGCCAACTAAATACGCATACCCACCCATCTTTGATAGAGGCCGAGACTGATCGTAATCGCATCAATTACAATCGTACGACTAATTAAACATGGGGAACTACTTGGTAAATGAGATGAGAAGTTTTATATCAGGGTCATTGGTAATATGTGTCCAATAGGTGATGCATCGCACAAACCTCTGCTCATGACTTGTGATCAGTTCAAATATATATTCCTTGCCATTCGAGTCTTGCTCAATACCAAAGCTATAATTTGTACAGAGTTAGCTTAGCTTTTATGGCTTGTTTTAAGATCCGCGACGACCAACACCCAGAGTTCCTACGGTAATCTCGAGCCAGAAGTCCCTATTGCTCTGACATGAAATGATCAGCCCGTGGCCAGAAGCCATACGGCCCAAAATATCATGACATGCAACAGGTTGCCGTGTCCTAAACTACACCCCCACCTCAAGACACTCAGAACAGAACTTCCTACTCTCCTCGCTCACATCAAACCCATGCACCCACATCCTCCCACCCGGTTCAACCGTGCTTTTACAAGCTGGATCAGGCGCCGGCCTCTCCGTGAGTACCTTCTCTCTCACCCTATCAATCCTGAGCTCGGCCAACTGCGCTCGCTGGTGATCGCGAATAGCACTCCATTTCACATCCCGTGCGATCTGAAGCTCACCATCCGGAAGCGTCATATCAACCGCAGTGCCCCGGCTGATACTACGCAAATGCTCCACGCGAGCCTGTCTAAACCCGCTCCATGCCTCCATCACCGAGGGCACATCCTCCGTCGACGTCAAATGGCCCACGAACTCCGCAAGGCTAGCCGCATCCTCCAGCGCCATGCCCGCCCCCTGTGCAGCATGCGGAAGGAGAGCATGCGCTGCGTCCCCAACAAGCGCCAGTCGTCCAGACGTACTCACATAGCTGGGAATCGGACCGACCTCCCCCAGCGTCCAGGAAACGCACTCGCCCTGGTGTACGAGAGAGGCCAACGCGCGCACCTCCTCACACCACTCCGAGACAAGCCCCCGCATGGTCTCAACATCGGCAGGGTTGTTCCACCGTCCCAGGGGCACTCCTTCGCGCGGCCGCGGGACCCCAATAACAACATTATACAACTCGTTCGAGGCAACCGTATACCCCAGCACGAACACGCCGGGCCCCACCCACGCTTTCGTTTCGGGGGACGACATAAGCGGCGCCGTCACGGGATTGGAAAGCATCCGCGACCGCGGAATCACCGCACGGTAGTGATGTTCCTTATATGGCGTGGGGGCTACACCCTTTGACGCGGGTAGGCATTGTCTGGAGCGAGACCAGATTCCATCAGCTGCGACGGCAAGATCCGCCTCGAAGTCATCCCCGTTTGACGTGTTGACAGTACCGGTCTCGTGGTCCACGGAGACGACAGATTCGCCGAAGAGAACGGTCACATTGGGCTGCTGTTTTAGGCGCTCGAAAAGCATTTGCTGCAGGTCAGGTCGGTAGATTTGCCACTGGGGCCAGCCGTAGAGCCATGTGCTGGTGGGGTTGTTCATGTTGATGGCCAGCTCGGTGTTATCTTCCCAGCGCCGGAAGGACATATGCGAGGACTGGACCGCGACCTTCTCTAAGGATGGTGTGAGGCCCCATTTGTTCAGGATGCGGGTGCTATTGGGGAAGAGTTGTAGGCCGGCGCCGAACTCGCTGAGGGAGGTATTAGATTCCAGAACTGTGACCTGGTGGTTGGGGTTTGAGTCGGCCAGTGCTATCGCAGAGGAGAGACCGGCGATACCGGCGCCGATGACGGTTATTTTCAATGGGATGCCATGTTGATCGCGATTGGAAGACATCCTGATTTGTGGAAGCTCAGCAGAGCGATAGTCCTATAGTAGGTCTGGTTGCTGCTTTGCGGAGCTGTTCGGGGGAAGGGGGTGTTATAAAGCATTCCATGACTGTAGATGCTTGAAATCCCTTTAATGCTCTATATGCAATATACCCCCCGAAACGTCCGAGATAAGAGAACTGGAGCCTCGTATCTCCAACAGACTTTACCACTAGCTGTGGCGACATAGTGGGGATAAAATACCCTACACGCAAGGTCCTCTGATGGTATTCGTGCTATCGAATGTATATTCCTCCCCTACCTATAGTCTCACCGGAACAAGGATGATATGAATACCAGTCACAGAGGCACAGGAGTGATATGTGTAAATACTTGATTGCCAAGACGCGTGGCACTTTCTGACTTAGCCCTAATAATTGTAAAGTTACTTTCTCTTAGCATCCTATGCCACAACTTCGAGGTAATCCCTGGAGTCATACTCGAGAAACGGCGTAGATGGTATTAATTCGGTTGTCACTTCGGTATATCACCTGCAAACAATGTCGTTACAGCCTTCTCATCCTACTGCTGACCACCACAACCTCGTTAGTTTCAATTTTCCAAGCAGAAGGCATGTTCTGTAACAGCGATGAGTGTATTCATCAATATGCCCATGCAGGGAAAACCTTGCTAATACATAAGTGTTGCCTTGCTTTTAGCAGTCTCGACTTCTTTGGTTACATCATTGAATAATATGCACATTAGTATCTGTCGGTTAAGCTGTACACCCTTGTATTGGAGACTAACATGATATCTAAGCATAACTAGATCTGTTGGGAAAGTATTCTTACACAGTAAAATAAAGAATAAGCATGACTTTACAGTCTGCAAGTCCCACTGAATACAGATTCAACATGGCGCAAGCTGAAATCTGAGACATGCGCTCGGATACCTGGCGGTCTAGGATATAGGATTAAATCATGGCGCCGGGCGGTAGTACAACATACATGTCTGGGTGTATTATCCTCGCCTTGGTGCAGGCAAGCCCAGGGCTGATCCATCCACGAGTATTCAACAGTGACCAATGATAATAATAATGACCGTCGAATATTAATAACTCACAGGCTAAATACTCAGCATGCAAGGGTGGGGTTTCTAAATTGAGGTACGTATCACAGATGCCTACACAGCACATTAATCAAAAGAAAGCGCGGATCTAAACAGATCACGGGTTTAGCAAATCATATTAGGAAGAGGCTATCCTGCTCTTTTCTGGGTATCCAATCCCATAGAGTGAGATGCCCGAATTAACCACAGGTGGCGCTGAGTATGCCGGTGTAGGATCACCTGGCACCGATTGAAGGCAAGTGGCCAAACCTTCCGTCTCGTCCGATGTGGTACATTCAACATCACATATTGTTTTCTTTAGTTCTACTGCAAGTATCAAAGAGGTTCCTTGTCGGCCAGGGCTGGGAGACTCTACTCCCTCTTGTATTGGGGTACTGTACCACATCTATATGCTTTCATCATTGATAATACCCCATTCGTTCTCATGATCATACGCACACATGAAACAAGAAGTCTTGAGATATATATTTATCAAGGCGTAGTGATTCCATTAAGCTAAGAAGAATTACCCCAATCAGTGGTTCGGTCTCAGGAAATAAGACACAAAGTATCGGTCCTCCTCGCCATCGACTGGCTGGCTCACTTTATGGACTGGCGAGTGCAGGCGGCCGCCGCTTTCACGCTGCAGATAATTGGCGACGTTCACCAACACACAATCAGGCTTGGGATCAATCCACAACCATTCCTTGGTCTCCTTCGTCTGCATCTGACTCGCCCACTTTTCGCACCAGAGTAAGGTGACCGAGCCACCATCGGTGTGGGTAGTGTCGGGTACATCAGCAACGAATGCTTTGGTTGGCCCGGAGACAAACTTTAGTCCGGACTCGCTGTATCCATCGGGGCGGTGAGCATTCTCCAGGATCGAGGGCTCTATCAGTCCGAGGCTTTCAGAAAGGCAACGAAGAACAACGCGTGTTATGCTGTCGCAGATGTTCAGAAAGTCCAAGGTCGGCGCGGCGTCTGCAGCGAACGGGGCTGGCAAAGTGAAGCTGTTTTGTTCGTCCCGAGGGATCTGGTAGTGATTGTTCCAGATTAGACGCTATATCCGGAAGAAAACCCTATGAGCACACCTACTTCGAATGATTCGATGCCTGCTTTTTTGTAGCTATAATTGTATGATTAGCTGACTAATATATCGGTTGTCGCCAGGAGTACCTAAAGGATAACATACCCATTGTCCACACCGTCTCGGGACGCCTTCATTTTCTCGTCTAAAGGCTTGCAAAAGAACTCATGGCAATTTCGGTAGCTATCCTGTAGATAACCCGCGATCTTTGCCGAGAGATGATCGTTGAAAGCGACGTAGAAGAATCCCTGAGATTCGGCCGCCTTCAAAAGCTTGGCTGTTTCAACGGGGTCTGTTGCAATGAGTCTTTCCAGCTGGATTACGTCGAGATCAGCAACGTCCAAAGACTGATCTCCCACAATCGTAGTTAACTTCGAGCGAGCGGAAGTAACGGTTTGAGACATGGTGAGCTGGACTGGATTCTGAGACTAGGTGGAAACCACAAGCAGAGTGCTTATTCCCAAAGCTATTCAGTGATAGCCAGTCCATATAAGTCACAGGCCTACCCCACAGACACGCGAATTGTCGGTGTCTATCATAGCACATCAGTGACCGCTATTTGAAATTGATTCAGATCAAGGGAGGCCCAGCACACCCGCTGCAAGGGATAGGTGGGTGTACCAACAGGTCGTAAATCACAATTACCTGTCGGACTGTTACAATCAGGCTGAACATATGTAACATTCCATGTCTCTCCCGAATTGGATGCCACAGTCACTCACAAATTCTAGTTTTTTTTTCTGTTCCCCAACAAGCAATTGTGAATCCAATCCATCCATCATTATGCCCCCTGTCGAACTCCATGGGTCTCCCCTTCCAGACCTGGACACACCCCTCCACGAGGTCTTTTCTCAGAACATTGTGAGCTACCCAGATACAGTGGCCCTTGTCAGCACTCAGCAGCCATCCACTCTCTACGGAATCCGGAGCCGGCCCATTGACAGCGCCAAAGATGAGCCGAAGTATCTACGATGGACGTACGGGGACCTCAGTCGCGCAGTTCAGCGACTAGTCCTTGGCTTGAAGAGCCAAGGTCTGAAGAAAGACGATCCGTTAGTGATGCTCATGCCAAATACCGCCGAATATGTCATTGCCACCTGGGCGGCCTACCAAATTGGCTGCGCCTATGTTCCCCTCAACCCCAAGGGCCTATCGAACACCCGAGAGATGCGACACATGTTGGAGCTTGCAAGGGGAGCATGTCAGTCGGACCGTTTGTTCATCATAGCCGGAGTAGCCGATATGTGTGCGCGTGTCGAAGAGCTGACGTCGGGGTTGAACTGCACCAAGATACTGGTCGAAGGCGAGACGAAGGGGTGGATACCCTTCAACGAGCTGATGCAGGACTCAGCTGGCAATTCTCGACCAACCCTATGCACAGATGCTCACTCCAACCTTTCAGATCGAACGATATTTTTCACCAGTGGAACGACATCGCTCCCGAAAGGGTGCATTATTCCATCAGCGTATGCGTTTGCATCCGCCTTGCGTTGGCGCCAAAGCGATGCCCCTATGCAGCAGGGGGACCGGGTTTTATTCACTCTGCCAAATAACCACGGGTTTGGCTGGCTTTGGATCATATCTGCGTTCCTTAGCGCAGCCACGGTGGTGATCCCTGGGCCACGTTTCAGTCCAGATGCTGTGGCCAAGGCCATTCGGGAGGAGCAGGTGAGCCATGCTGGATTGGTACCAACCATGCTGCATGCTTTGAGTAGTTTACCGCTCGCAGCCAGGACTCAGAGTTCGCTTCGGCGCATCATCATGGGAGGCTCTGCACCAACCGAGGAGGTTATCCGAATCTGTCTTGACACCATCGGTGCGTCGGGTGTGGAAAACATCTACGGTATGACCGAGGGTATCCTTGTCTCGTCCGGTGTCATGAGCCAAGCCAGCGACATTATCAAAGACGGACATGTTTCGATTGGCAAGCCGTTTCCTGGTATGTCGGTTCGTGTCTACGCTAAGGACAGTAAAGTGGCTGCGGGGGTGGGAGAGGTAGGTGAGATGCACTTCTCCGGTGCTAGTCTTATTGACGAGTATATCGGAGGCGCCGATGAGAACTTCTACAAGGGAGACGATGGCCGTCAGTGGTTCCGCACGGGTGATAAAGCCTTCATTGGCAGTGATGATCGCCTTTACCTGATTGGGAGGTACAAAGACACGATCATTCGCGGGGGCGAGAACATCGACCCGTCTGCCATTGAGGTGGTTCTGGGCCAAATCCCCGAATTCCATGCTCTTCAGCCTCAAATTGTGCGCGCACCGAACCATGTTGCGGGTGAGGTTCCCGTTGCCGTGGTGAAACAGAAAGTCGACGACCACACGGCCGATAGCCTTAAAAAGGCCATCCTAGAGCGGATGGGAGATCTTTATGTCCCGGCCGATGTGATACCAATACAGGCACTTGGACAGGAAACATACCCGACCACCATGGCAGGAAAGGTCCAGAAGACTAAACTAGAAGACTTAGTTCGGATGGAGTTTGAGCGCCAGCATACCAACGACAATCACAGAATTGACGGACCTATCTCCGGCCCACAGGTGATGGAATCCTTGTGCATGGCCATCGAGAAAGAGAAGGGACACCCCCTCGACCTCGCCCTCCGAATGATCGAGCTCGGAGTCGACTCAATCATGTCCATCGCAATCATCAAGCGCGTCCAGATAGCAACCGGAGTATCACTACCATCAAGCCTGTTCTTCACGCAGGCTAGAGCCAGCGCAATCTGCCAACAGATCAGTTCGATCTCTGAGACAGCCGACTTCGCCGATTTCACCCCCATCATGGAAGACGGGCCCACCGATAAGTGCTTCTCTGTCCTACTTCAGGGCACCCCTCGAGCAGGCGTTGCCCCCGTCTTTCTGACGCCCCCGGGCTCCGGAAACGCCCTCGTATACCGAACATTACCCAAGTTCGTCGACGACCGTGCAGTCTACAGTTTCGCATCGCCCTTTCTTATGACCAAATCCGAATCCACCTGGACAATAGAAGAAACGGCCACCATCTACGCTAACACCATCCGCAGTATCGATCCGAACGGGCCATATATCCTTGGCGGCTGGTCAATGGGAACCGCCACGGCCTACGAAACGGCATACCAGCTCCACGAACAGGGGAAGCAAGTCCTGGGGATCTTCATGCTCGACTTGGCGCTGCCACGACCACCCCCGCACATCCCTGAGGCAACCGTTGAGCTATTCGACATGATGGGAGTGTTCCCCCCGATCCGCCGTAAAGGGAAGCCAGACGTGGAGGTTCCCGGCTTCCGGAGGCGGCATCGCGTTGCGGCGTACTACGCGAAAATGAAGTATCGACCTCGTCCGTTTGACATGGCCGGGAATGCGAGCCGTCCGCGCATCTTTATCATCTGGGCTGGACATGGCGATCATGACAGGATGGCAGACATGGTTGGCGAAGCGAGTGATCTGTTGAAAATCCAGGGTCCGGGGACGAAGATGAAGATTAGCGATGACTGGCTGCAGGCTCCGCGGGGATCTTTTGATGCTGGGGGTTGGGACGAGATGGTTGGGCCGGAGTACGTCGATTGGGGCATTGTAGAAGACGCAGACCATGATACGCTGATTGAGGATGAGAAAATAGTATGTCACGTGTCCTTTACCCTTTGTCTGTGCTGTTTGGTATGGTTGACTAACGAAATATCTATAGGTGGGTTTGACTATGGGCTTGATGGAGAAGACCATAGGTAATTGGGTGCGAGAGGCTGAGCTGAAACCAAATGGTTCAGGTTGAGGTACCCTCTTTGAGCAAGGTGTGAAGGCCGCAATAATCATTCCGTGGTAGTAACATTAACATTGCCAGCTTCAGACAAGAGAAAGAAACATAAGAATCCATGTTGATTATTCTGCGCTTCTAAGACCAATCTTTGTCCTTCATCCAACCACTTCGTATTATACCAATCCAAGTATGTATTCAAGTATATAAAGCCTGCCCAGGTTACCAAATCGCCCTGGTCATGATAATCCTCTCCCAAACTCGTTCCCATAATCGAGTTCCCATCCGTGATACGAGCACGGCACAGACACAGAACGGACGTGAATTTTCCGTTTCAAGACTGTATCCGAATCAAAGGCATTGGATAGACTGTGACCCTTCGTACCGAGACTCATCACGCATCAAGTGGAGCTGAGTCAATTCCATCTGCATCAAATCTCTAGAGCCCCCATTTCAGTATCCTGCGGGCGACCAGCCCGTGTCTCAGCTCGTCTCTTTAACTTCGTAGATATCGCTGGGGGAGTGATGCAGAACTCCGCAGTTTCAGGCAGCCACCATCTTGCCAAGACATACCCTTGCAAATGCGACAAGGCTCGTAAGAGCGCTCGAGAAACCCGCAGATGCAATTTAAAAGCTATTCGCCTCGGTATGACCCGTTGTTGGCATCTACTTCCTACTTAATACTGATCTATGCCTGGAATTGAAGCCTTCCGTGCCCATGGCCGTGAAGATTGCCCATGACATGGGTATCTTCGCCCTGTTATCGCAAACAACCTCATTCGTCACCTGTGAAGACCTAGCTACGGAGAAAAACGCCGACGTCCAGCTTGTGGGTAGGTATCACCCTTATCCACAGTGATCTTGCAGCACATGCTAATATAGGCATACCCTGGTCGGCAGAGCGCATCATACGGGTTCTCGTCTGCAACGGTTTCGCCCGTGAACTGAATATCGGTCAATATGCACCGACAGACCTGTCACGACAAATGACCGAGCGGTTGACGATTGCAACAATGGATTCACTGTACGCACCCATCCCAATCGAGCTCGGGAGCTCAGTGTTACACCCACCTTCCGCATATTCGATCTAACATCACAAATGTAGTTTCATAGACATCCTCCCAGTCATCCACAAAACTCCGGAATACTTCCAAAAGACCGGCTACAAATCCCCTAGCGACCCCACCAACAGCCCTTTTCAATACGCATACAACACCACCGATTCGTGCTGGGACTGGATGACCCAGCACCAGGACGCTCTGGGCCGCTTTAACACGTCCATGGAGGGCAGCCGAGACAGGATCGTCCACTGGGCTCAATGGTTCCCCGTTCAAACGCAGCTACTGGATGGGGCGGTGGCGGACCGTCCGCTACTTGTGGACGTGGGTGGGGGTCGTGGGCACGATATCCTCGGGTTCATGGAGCGGTTTCCGTCGACGTCTGGGAGGTTGGTGCTGGAGGACTTGCCGTCCGTTATCGAAGATATTCGGAGCCTCGATAGCGGGATTTGGAGAGTCAAGCATGACTTCTTTAAGCCGCAGTCTGTACAAGGTCGGTCATGCTTTCTACTATCCTTCTGTTCTGTTGCATCTCCTCCAGGAAACGACTAACCGGTACTACCTCTGTAGGTGCGCGTGCATACTACTTTAGGCACATCACGCATGACTGGTCGGATGAGCATTGCCAGACCATCCTGAAACACACTACCGCTGCTATGGAGAAGGGGTATTCCAAGGTCTTGATTGCGGATTACATCGTTCCGGACCTGAATGCTGGACCGAAGGAGACCTTGATCGATATGGCTGTCATGGTATGGTGTACGGGGTTTGAGCGGACGCGTCGCAGATGGATGGAGCTTTTGCAGTCGGTTGGGTTGGTGGTTACGAACTTCTGGCTGCCGGAGGGGAATACCAAGGGTATTATCAAGGCTGAACTACTAGATACACCGGATACACCAGAGCAAGATGTAGAGGCCTATCCAATGGCAGTAAATCCAGTCTACGTAGCCTGGATTTAATTTAGCGTATTTCTCATGACCCTAGTAAGTAGAATGGATTATTTCTTTATGATTAGATTGGATTTTTTAATATAATCCAGATCACTCTGAAATCTTGATATGTTATATTTTAAGTATTTCTCTATAACATATTAAAATTCTAGAGCAATACCAGCAGTTGCTGATTTTTAATAGATTTTTAAACGTAGGAGGTTAAAACAAATTTTTTTGTTAGGGTAAGACTCGGGTAACCCCTATTAAGTATTTATCTCCTAGCTGTAGTTTTATATATATATATTACTTCTACTTCTTCTAAAACTCTGTACTAAGATTATATTCTCTTTTTTAAGTCCTAATAAGTGGGTGGAACAGAACCCTACCTATTTTTAAGTATAGTTCTGTTCCAGAGCACTGAGCATGGCTTGTGATTAGCTAGAAAATTAGAGGAATCTTATAAAGTTCTATTATCTTTAAAATAAGATACTCTTATAATCTAGAATTAATATAAAAAAAAGAAAAATAAAAGATTATAATTTAGATCTTAAGTTATTATATAAACTAGATTTTATAATTTTATTTTATTAAAAAAGTTTATCTTAATATGAATAAAAATCTTTTATTTTTTTTTATAAAATAATCTAGTATCTATACCTAATAAGTATTAAAATATTATTATTATTTAATTTATTTTAATAATAAATTAATCTTTTTAGATTAAGAGTATTAGCTTTATTATTTTTTTTTTATTTAATAATATTAAGAATTAATTTTATTAATATATTAAGTTATAAAACTTTATATTTCTTTTATATTTAGTAATTAATTATTTAATTATTAATTATTATATCTTATATATATTCTTAATAAAAGTCTAATTATATTTTAGTTATAACTAAAAGTTTTTTTTAAATATATTTATTCTTATTTATATAAGAGATTAGGTTATTTTTTAATTATAATTAAAAGATTTTACTAAAAAAAAAATAATTATTATTTTAAATTATAATTAAAATTATATTCTAATATTTAATTCTAATATTTATGCCAAGACCCTAGGATCCCTTCAAGCTTCTGCTGTACTAGTATTAGTGGCTTGGGTTATTTAAGATAAAGAGCACCCTGTGATCTTCCTATCAGCTATTAATAATAGATTAGACTAATCTAAGACCTCATATAGTAGCTGTACTAATTATATTAATTAATAAGATAATCTAATAATCTAAAGATAACTAATAAGCAAGAAGAGAAGTAAGATATATTAAGTATATATACTTAATACTTGTTACGGAAACCCAACAAGGTTAATACCCCATGAAGGCGGCACAGCCAGGCAGAAGCCCGACGCCAATTAATTAATATAAGGATCAGAACCCTTGCACAAGGATAACTACAAGTCATGTGATACAACCACCTACTCCTAATGTGAGATAGGGGAGTAGCTACATGATACAGTCACCTACTCTATATCTACCCCCAGGGAGTAGCCAGAGGAGTAGGCACCAAGAGAAGCATATAATTAGAGTGACTCTGGAGGTGACTATAAAGAAGTTACTATAAAAATAATCAGGAAAGAATATATAAGAATACTTATTTATTTATATCTATAATTTAATTAGTTATATTTAATAATATTATTATTCAGGACTATACAGTCCAAGTCTAAGTATATATTTAGTCTAGTTTCTACTTATTTATACTTAACTTAAGTAATCAGATTTTTATACCTGACATGTCTTACTTCTCTTATTACTTATTAATTATCTTTAAACCATCAGGTCACCTTATTAATTAATATAGTTAGTATAATTACTATATAAGGCCTTAGGTGTTACGGAAACCCAACAAGGGTAATACCCCACAAAGGCGGCACAGCCAGGCAGAAGCCTGACACTAATTGATTGACATAAGGATTAGAACCCTTACATAAAGATGACTACAAGTCATATAATATAATCACCTACTCCTAATGTGAAGCAAAGGAGTAGCTACATGATATAATCATCTACTTCATGCCTATCCCCAGGGAGTAGCTGGAGGAGTAGACACCAAAGGAAATATATAATTAGAGTAACTCTAGAAGTAATTATAAAGAAGTTATCATAGGAGTAGCTAAAGAAGGATATATAAGAATACTTATCTATCTATATCTATAATTTAGTTAGTTATATTTAATAATAATCTCAAGTCTGAGTACACATTTAAGTCTAGTTTCTACTTATTTATACTTAACTTAAGTAATCAGATTTTTATACCTAACATATCTTACTTCTCTTATTACTTATTAGTTATCTTTAGATTATCAGGTTACTTGTTAATTAATATAATTAGTATAATTATTATATAAGACCTTAGGTTAGTACAGAACCTATTATTAATAACTAATAAAAAGATTATAAGATACTCTTTATCCTGAATAACCTAAGTTATTAATACTAGTATAGTAAAAGTAAGAAGGGATCCTAGAGTCTTGATATATTAAATACTAGTTAGTATAAGTAAAATCTTAGATTAACTTAAAATAATTTAAAATATTATTATATTAAATAATAATAAAATAGCTATATTAATTCCTAGGACTAGTAACAGAAGTAGTTAAAGAGATACTAGTATAAGACTAACTCTAGTAAATATTATTAGTATAATTAAGTAACTACAGGCATATATTATAATCTTAAAAAGATAACTTGTAACCTATACTATTAAGATTAAATTACTAGAGATATTTAATAGTACTTATTCCAAGCTTTGTATATTTCTAATATAAATAAATATATATATAAAGATAAACAGAGAGAGACTTGCTACTAAATCTAATAAAATTATATTTATTATTATATATCTAAAGAATTTAATATTTAATTAGTTTAAATCTTATATCAGGGACTTTCAGGATAATATTAAAAATAATTAAGATAATAAAATAAAAGAAGTATTCAAGAGTTATAATAACTTTAAAGAGTAACTTTATATAATATTTAAAGATATTAATTTGGTTTAAAATATTAAATAAAAGTTATAATAATTATAATAATTCAAGTCAGTCAGTCAGTATGCTTTAGAATTTTAATAAATTATATCTTAGTTAGATTAGGATAATAATACTTATATTATATAATTTAAGAAAGGACTTAAACCAGAGGTTTAAGAGAAACTAATCTAGATAAAATAGCCAGGAACTCTTAGTAAGATAATTAAATAAGTAATTAAGATTAATAACAAGCTATTTAACTTTAATATTAGATATAAGAATTAGTTAGGTAACAGGTATCAAGATAACTAGAGAATAAGCTAGTATAATACTAATAATAAATAATAAGTATAGTTAAAAAGTTAAGGATATAGTAATTCTTATAGGTTATAATTAATAAAGCTAGATATAGCTTAATATCAAGAAATTCTTAAGAAAGAAAGAGAAAGACACTAAAATAATAAAGTATATTATAATTATAATAAATAAAATTATATAGCAAGAAAATGCTAATTAGACTAGTAATAAAAAAATAATAATAAGAAATTATAAAAATAGTTAAAGACTACTTATAAAGAAGCTAGAGATACTTAAAATAATAATAAGAATAAAAGATCTAAGACAGACCTACTAGCTAAGAAATTATATATAATTTATAAAATTAATTAGTTAAATAAACCTATAGATCTAAGTGATTATTAGTAAAGTAATAATAATAACTATAATATAAAGAATCAGAGCTATTTTAATAAAAAAAAAGAGATAATAAAATCTAATAATAGAAGTAATAAATTTTATATAAAAATAAATAAGTCTGATAAAGCTATTAGTATAAATAAGCTAATTAAAAAAAATAAATTTCCTAGTATAGTCTAGAATAATATTAATTTATTTAATAAAGAATTTAGTACTTAAGTAAGAAATCTAAGACTAAGCTTAGAGATTAATATATCTTAAAATCTCCTAGAACTAGAGAAAATTATAGAAGAATATTATAAAGAAGCTAATATATAAAATATTATATAAGTATTAGTCAGATTAAGGAAGCAATTAATTATAATTAATAGAATTAAAGAGCTTAATAAAGTTATTAAAATAAATATCTATAACAGGGTTAGGAATTGCACCTACTAGAACCTAGAATACTAGAAAAAAATTAATAAATTATAAGAGATATACTAATAAAAGTATATATAATATTTAGGAACATAGTATATATAGTATTAAAAAAATAATATCTAGTATTATAATAAACTTATAAAACTCAAGCATAAATAATATTCTAACTTATATAAATATTATAATTATAAATAATACTTATATATCTATTTTAGGATGTACCTATAATACAAGGAACTATTATAAATAGTATATTATAATAAATATTATTAACTATATAACACAGAAAAAGCAGTATCAGGATACTTACTAAAGATATTAAAAAGTATAAATAAATAAGAAATAATATACTTATATTAGGATCTATAATATTCTTGTAGGAGTTACTTATATTACTTATATTATAAATATATAATATAAATATAATATTATAATAATAAGTACAAGATATATTATAATAATAAGTTTATTAATACTTATTTATTATAACTTTTACTATATAAGTAAGCACTAAATTAGTAAAATAAGAAATAGATTATAGTAATAGGATAAGGAATTTATATTAAGTTTATTATATAAGTATATAAATAGATAGTTAAAGTAATACTTAACTCTAGAGTAACAAGCAACTTTATGAATCTCTAATTCTAATAAAAACTAGATATTAAAGATATTAGAAAAGCTAATCTAGAATTAATTATAAGATTAAATAATAAAAACTTAAGAAATTATCTTATAGTTAAATCAGGACTGATTCTTATAATTATATTTAATTATTTTAAACAGATAAACTTTAACATGATATAACTAGGATAATATAATATAATATTAGGAATCTCATGGCTTAGGGATTATAATCTAAAAATTAATTAAAAAATAAGTAGTCTTTAGTTTATAAATTATAATTACTTAAAATAAGAATAAATAATAGAAATATCTAAGTCTTAATAATATACTCAGGAATAAGAAGCCTAAGTATTAGCTAAGAGATTTAGAAATAAATCTAATAATAATTATATAATACAAGTATTAGTAGCAACAAAGCCAAGTTACTAAGATTAGTTAATAATACTATTAGGATAGGTACTAGACACAGTAATAAATTATTATAAAATT